CTTGGGATTATGATGGTGTCAGATCTCACAAGAACATCTCTTGCTCTTGGGCCTTGCTCTTCAAAGTGTTCTACCAACCAGCAATATAAGCATCACCTGGTACCTGTTAGAAATGCAGAATGTCAGGCCCCACCACAGACCTACTTAATCATAATCTACGTTTTAACAAGATCCTCGGGTGATTCATATGCACACTAAACTTTGAGAAGCACTGGTCTAGGTCATATACCCAGGAATAAAAAAATCCCATTCTTTTCCACACTGCCACTCATACAATTCCATCTATCTGGCAAGCTTGAGTTTATTCTTTAAGAATCATCTTCTGTGGGACTTACCCTGACTCCCAGAGATTGGTGCTTTCTTCCTTCGTATGTTTGATGGATTGTGTTTATGCCTTCCATTGTAGTGATACCACATTGTGTCATTTCATCCTAGTAGCTTAAAAGGCACATCATAGATTTTCAATAAATAACTACAAATTAATTAATAAAGTAATAAATTGAGTGATGGTGGGAGTCAGATATTTCTGCGAAGCAAGGATAGCCTGAGGAAGGGAGTCTTGCAGAAGGTAGGCATGATTGCTATGTGGATAGTCAAGAAAGATCAAGATCAAGACATTCACCACCAATGAACCAGGAGATTTAGGAGCATGAAAGTCACAATTTTATCCTAGGAAATTTAGAAGTGATTGAAATATTCTTTTTTTTTGCTGAGGAAGATTAGCCCTGAGCTAACATCTGTTGCCAATCCTCTTTTTGCTGAGGAAGATTGGCCCTGGGCTAACATCCATGCCCATCTTCCTCTACTTTACATGGGAGACCGCCACAGCATGGCTTGATAAACTGTGTGGAGGTCCACGCCCAGGATCCGAACCTGCGAACCCTGGGCCACCGAAGCAGAGCACACGAACTTAACCACTATGCCACCAGGCTGGCCCCTGAAATATTCTTAAAGTCTGATGAGATAAGATTGCTTATCCTGGGTGAAATTACCTAAGGAAACTGAATTTCAAGATAATTCTACCTCCTGTTTTTTAGATACCAATAAAACACAAAATCTTGAGTGAGAAAAGGGCTTGTTTTTCCAGATAGAAAACAAGTGATCTGTGTTTAGCTGCGTGTCGTCTTCCCGGAATCTCCCATCATGTCATCTAGCCTTATTCTCCCTGTATATTTAGCACATTCATGTATATTTCCATACAATTGTAATTGGCTCATGTGTGATATAGGCTTGTAAGTCGTATCACTATGATTATATAGTGTGTATATGGGTAATCATCCTCAGGGTATCTAGGCCATTGCTTTTCATACAAGAGATGTGAAATCACAGAGATAGAGATTATAACACAGATAGAGATAGAAAGCATATAACACAAAATTCTTATTTTGCAAAAGAGAAAGCTGAGCCCCAGAGCCGTTCTACAAACTTGCCTCATATTACATATTCATTTAAACAGTGAAAAAGTCATCAATTCATTTGTTCATTCAACAAATATTTCAGTGACTTGATGTCCAAAAACGTACAGACGTTGGATATAAAGATAAATGACATAATCCCTGACATCGAGAATTTCACAGTTTTCTTGGGAACAGACACGTAACAGCAGTATACTGCCAGTGGAGGGTATGCTTTGGTTTAAATCTTTATAGAACAGTTTGACAGTATATAAGTTTTGAAAATAATGACTTTGGTCTTTCAATTCCACTCCCAAGAATTAATCCAGTGGACATAAACTTGGATACAAGCAAAGATTTGGCCATAAGTCTTCTTTTTTTTCTTTTTAAATAATAGTGCTGCTTATGAAAGTGGTGCTATATTTCAGAATAAACTATGGTTTCTGATACGTGGAATTCTTTGCAGTCATTAAAAGATATGTTGAGAAAGGATATTGACACAAAAATATGATCATGACACATTGTTGAGAAGGCAAAACGGTAGATACCATTGCAATTTATATATTATGAACCTGTGTTTTAAAAGTATATCTTTATTTATGCCTAGAAAAAAGCTTTCAAAGTATTAACAATAGACATCTCCAAATGGTAAATTACAGATACTGTTCTTTTTCTTGTCCCTGTTAGCTGTATTTTCTAAATGTTTTACAATGAATACACATTTACTTTAAAAGAAAAAATTATTTCTAAAGAAAATAAATTATCTGTATATCAAGGCAGCGCTTTAGTTCCTGAGTGTCTGGATCTATCCATAAGGAGCCAGAGGGTGGGAAGGTCTGACCTGTACTGACCCATTAATCAGGGACCCATTGAACACGAGCAGTTGTTTTTCACTAAATTGTCCAAATGGAGCATTAAATGTAAACTTTTTTTTTTTTTAATTTAAGGGAGGAAAGCCTAGAACAAATATTTTCTCTAAATCTTCATGAGGAAGAAACAAGTCGCGAGTAAATACATCACAATCAAATATGCTTTTAAAAATTTTCCAGAGCACAGCTCTGGAAATGTGAGAGCACAGCTCTGCTCATTCTCTTGTGTCAGCCAGAGTTATCGACACTCCTCCTCCGTGTCCCTGCCAGCCTCCAAGGAGGATCCCAAATCACCAAATATCTCATTGTGTTCAGTACTGGTCATGTGTTTGGATGGGTTCTATTCTTTGAAAATTGGTAATTCAAGCATACGTGCTAACTCTCTATGAGGCAGAAGAGCAGGTTACCCTGAACATCCCACTCTCCAATCGTCCAGGGTAAACAGGTATTTACAAGTTATTAGATCTCACTAATCTCCATTCTCGACAAAGTGCTTTCAATCTATCAGGAAGGCGTCAGCATGACATCAAAAGGACGAACTGAGACAAATTCAATGGGAAGGCTGCACCAAGGTCAGGGTGAAAACAGTATTTACCTCGCAAAGACCTCCAGGCACTCAGACAGATTAAATTAGAATAGGAATGAGTACATGCTCTTCTGTATTTATTTAGTTGGCAGAAGTTGCTTTATTTTATATAGATCACATAGCCATCATTGAAAATGTGTTCTATTTTTAAAGTGGCATACCCTGTCAGAGAGAGAATCTGGCTTCTTAAAGAACGTGGCGTAGTCTAAGGGGGCAGAGAAAGAAAGAGGCAGAGAATGAACATTTATTGAACATCTCTGGGATCTCATATAACTCTCTCCCTTGAGTTCTCATTGATCCCAATTCTCAGCCCTTCTGGGAAGTTATTATGATTCCCATTTTACAGATGAACAAATCGAGGTTAAGTTTCAGAAAGCTTAAATAAATCCATGGTTGCACAGTTGGTTAAGTGACAGCAACAGATTTCAGACCCAGGTTTGTCAGATCCCAAAGCCTATGCCTTATCTAAAGCACCCTGCTGTTTCTGAAGGTCAGACAGAAGGAATGTCATAGTGTTACATTAAATCAAAAAGGAGGCAGAGAGATCAAGTGACAGGGAAAGCAGATGGCATTTAGACATTGAAAACCTTCTACAAAGTTGTCATACACTTTCCCACATTGATATCAGCAAGCCTGGGAGAAGCTGTAGTCAAGGGAGAATCTGTTCAGGTTACGTGCACCTTTGCGGATGCTACTCAGTAGGACTCTCGGCAAAGTCAAGGACCAAGTGGCCATTATCTCTGGTGTTGAGTGGGCCTGCTACTTGGAAGGTGGGGCACAGCATGCAGGCCTGTAGGGGAAATCCAGTGCCCAGATTCAGCCTAGACCAGGCATGCTCCATACCTTCGCTGTGCTGCCTGCCTACTCCTAACCTACACCTTATCTTTGTTCTACAATCTTCTGATTTTGAGTCTTCCTTAACTCTGGCTTCAGTGATTTATAATCTGTGATTCTACCATTAGAAAATTGTTTCATTTGTGGGGAGTGGTGATGGGATGGGCTTGTCTTTTACTTTCTGATTTAGAGAATTAGGACTGAGCTCATGGTAACTGATTCTTCACTGACCTCCAACATACAGTTCGTTCTCTGATAAACTGTTCCCCTTGAAGCTCATCTGGGTTCTGACCCTTTGCAAACCTTTTTCAGGCACTCAGGATCATGCTGGACTTCACAGGATTCTGCCCCAAGAGAACCACTGTGTCGCAGCCCTCCAGGCTTGAAGGTCTCACTAAAACTTAACTCTCCTGTGTCCCCTTCTTTAGGCCCTGCAAGAAGACTGGTTACATTTAAATTTAAAATCATGGAATTGTAACTTTGACCTCAGAAGTCAATAGAGTTCAATCTTGAACCTCTACCAATTCGACTACTTCCCCATTCAACAATAATTATTTGAAAGTTGAGTCTTATGTTGAATCAAAATCAACCTCCTAGCTACCTCTCACTGGTCCCAACTCTGCCCTCTGGGATTATGCAGCCCACAAGAAGGTAATGTTAAAAAATGTTTAAAAGAACTGATGCCCTTAACGAGTTTGTTAAGAGAGGCTTCTTGTAGGAAGAAGTGTAGTACGGGCGCAAGTTTAGGCAAGCCACTTCCAGGAGTCATCTTTAAATTCTCATGGATCCCATTTCGTCTGTTAGATGGTATTTGGGGTTTTTGTTCTTCACCTGAAACAAGCTGGGAACGGGCAAGCTGGGAATAGGCAGTTCCAGGCTGCAAATCCTCTGAGGACAGCTTTTGTTGCCAAATCTTTAGAGAAGATGGGCTGTGTAAGAAGAAAATCTCAGGCTTCAGCGTGGTCCCACTTGACATCTCAAGTAGAGACAAAGCCCTGGCTGGAAGAAAGAGGCAGAAGGAAGTAAATTCTTTGTAAGTTTTGTTTTTGACAACTGGCTTGCATATAAACAGATGTAAATAATATAAGGCTGGGTAGAGCATCTAATACATTTTATCAGTAGAGAAACAAATAATAGAAACTTTGTGCATTATATAAAACTGACTATAACCCACCTATTGGGTGCTGGATCATTGAAAACACAGGAGCCCTAACCTCAGCAAAGAGCAAGTTAACCCTTTGGGTCTTAGTGACTGAATGCCCCAGGCCACACCAGCTCTGCCCTTTCTAACATCTGAACCGCCTGGCCATTGGGGCTCAAGGGACCCAGTCAAGTGTAGCCACTAACGGGGCCAGGGGCCTGGCCAATGGAGGATGAATCCACAAGTCCAGTAGCTTTCTACTTAATGTCTTTCAGAAAGGCACCTTGGATTAGTGGAAAAAGCAGGCTTTGCAGACAAGCAGACTTGGGTTTGAATCCTGACTTCACCCTTAGTAGTTGTGTGACTTTGGATAAATTACTTAACCTCTCATTTTCTTCATCTATAAAATGGAGATATTATCTATCCCATAAGGGTGTGCCAAGGATTAAGTGGGATCAGCTTTGCAAATGCTGTATATTACAGTAATTTTTCAGTGACTGTTTGTCCGCTTTCCCCTTTCTACTGACATCTCCTTTGCCTTCGGCTCTTCCTCTAGTCTGGGGTTTGGGATAGGGACGTGTTAGAAAGCGCTTTCAGATATACTTCCATCCCCTTGCTCTTTGGGAGCTCTGCCTCTGCCTCCTGCTCCTGCTTCCTCCTTTGCCCATTTTGATCTTCATTATCACCTCCACAGAAAGACGAACCAGAGGACATGGGAAAAGCAAAACTGAAACCCATCTGCTCAGTTCTTTGTATGCACAACTTTTGGAAGGAGGCTAAAAGCTATTAATGGAAGTGAGTATGTAAGACGCTTTTATTTATGATGCATCTGTTCTAGACAGAACGGAGAGGAATCAAACATGATGCCTGCCTTCCAGCACCTTGCTGTCCAATGAACGAGTTGTCCATGGAGGTAAATAAATTCAGGAGTGTGATGAATGTTATACTAGAAGTATGCCCAGGTCATTGGGTCATTAGGATCCACAGACTGCTTCTGTCTCTGTCTGTCTCTCACATTGCAGCTAAAGAGGGTTCCTGGACTGTCACTGTTGAAGTGGCAACTCCCTATCTGTCTGGGAAGGACATTAGTCTCTTAAATTCTCCTTGAGTTTTGCTTCTAGTGAATTAATTCCTAGATGGTGGTGGAGAGCTTAATGGCAACTCGCTATTGTTAGCAAAGAATGACAGATGTGGAGATAATTTTGAATTGTGTTAATGTTCTGAGAAACAAATGAATGCCTGTTGACATAATACCCGATTTAAATAATGGATTACAGTGTATTAAATTTCAATGCCCTTGCTGGAAAGCTTAATCTAAGAGCAAGAGGTGTTTTTGTGAGATCTGATACCATCATAATCCCAAGAGTTTGCTTTTTTCCTCTCATTAAAGGAATTATTTTGGATTATCTAATCAAATTCCTAAGAATAAAGGGATTATACTTGAAAGGTCTTTGTAAATCAACACAATCATGCCAAAATGTATTCTGTGATGTAAAAATGTTATAACTTAAGACTGTCTGTTAGAATATCTGTCCTTTTTTTGATTTTTGGTTTCTTGATGTTAATGATAATCATAAGCTTATTTGAAAGAAAATATATCAGTGTTTTCAATAATATGTATCAAATGGCGTTAGAGTAGAGATAAAAAACAACCTGTGCTTCCAGTTCTCACCAACCCATCAGGCCTGAGTCTGCAGTGACCATCTCTCCTCTTCCACATGGCATTCCTCTGACCATTCAGCATTGGAGTCAGGCGAAGGTTGATTTTATGTCACCAGCCCTGATATCATACTTCCATAATTACAAATAAGCCATGAGGTCTGTGTAGAACCCCTGTGTACTCTGGATGTTCTCATCATCTTCTTCTCCTTTCTATGCTATAAAATCATTAGGAATAGAGAGGGAGGTTTGGAGAAAGGGAGAGAGGACAAGACTAAAATCTTACTATACATTGGAGAATATAAAAATTTTCATTGGCAGAATGCCTTCTGCATGCAGGAAATTTCCATATATGTTTTAAGATCTTGACTTCATACAATAAAATAGAAGTTATTATCCCCATGTTACAGAGGTAGAAACTGAGGCTTGCAAACACTAAACGATTCATCAAATTTTCAGAATTAGTGGTGGCTGAGCTAGGGTTCATACGTAAATTTGTCTGGCTTCAAATCCGCTACACTGAAGTTGGTTTAAATCAACAAACTGGGGCTCCTGGGCCTGATCCAGCTCAAGGTCATGGTGTTTTGTTTTGCTTGGTCAGCACTGGGATATACTCTCCCCGGTTAGCCATTTTTATTCTCTTATATCCTGTCATATATATCATACATTTATTTTCTCTCCCTGGCTCCTGGTAGCATTTCGAGTTTGTGATCTCTGTCTCTGGTGTAATGGAATGATTGTGGTCTTTGGAGCCAGACAGTCCGGGCCCAGCCAATTACTAACAGTGTGTGTGCTTTGGGCAAGACTTTGAGCCCATTCCTCCACACAAATGGGGATAGCCAAACCTAGATCATAGAGCTGCTGTAAAGATTAAAAGGAAACACATGTAAAGTGCTTGGCATCCAGTAAGTATTAGTGCCCTCTATGGTTCCCTCCCACCTTCATCACCATCTTTTGTGAAATCACTTCTTTAAAAAATGTCCACATGCTCTGTTCGCTCCCAAGACTGTCCCTGCAGAAGTGCTGGTTGAGGCGACAGTCTCAATTGCTACTGTAAGAGGATATTGAACTATTCTTCCTGTCTCCTTTTCTACTGAGGTGTGGAATTGAAGGATACCAAATACCAAAGAAAGTGTGAGACCAATCTTCATATTTATGTGAGATAATTTATAACAGAAATATTCAATAACCACCCTCATGATCCTTGGTCCCTTAACTGTCTCAAAGATATTTTAAAAAATCATAATGAGGAGAGGTGGGAAGATTGGTGGAAAGATTTCCTAGGATTTGGCTGTTGCTATGTTAAAAGTCTTCACTCCTCCTCTCCTTTGCCTCAGCCTAGCGGGTATAGACATCTATATGGCCCTTTGAAGAGCTAGATGTATATGTTGCTGCAGCTGTTGGTGAGGAGAGGGGCTCTGTTTACCTGGGTTGGATTCTCAGGCAGGAAATCTAGAGGACAAAAGTCTAACAGATTGCTTTAGTGGCAGAACCAGGGGGATGATTGCTCAAATCACATTAATCTGCGTTCCTCGATCTCATTCTGGGCAAAGGTACGTGAATGTTTCCCATGGAGTGAATGTGGACCACATGGAGGAGCGTATAGTAGATATTGTCAACACTTCACACATATCCCTTAGCCCTTTCCCTATCAGTGTGCTGCTGCTGACTTTTAAGTATTAGTAACTCCATTCCTAAGGATTTTTCTAGAACTGGAGGGGGCTACTCTGCCTGGGGGTGAAGTAGGCCAAAAGTGCCAGGAAATTAACTCCTCCTTGAAGCAGTCTTAAAACAGGATTGACTTGAAATGTGAGACTGAGGTACATTTGTACACCTACAAATACCACAGTTCCCTTATTTCTAAGTTGGGGTAATTCTGAGGCATGTATCTGACACTATTTCCCAAAATTTCCATGTGGGATTAAACTATAGTGGTATCTGGCTTTGTGCTGCACTTTTTACTGGCTATCTCATCTTCCCTCATTACCTGACTGGCTTCTCTGCAGCTCCCAAATAAATTACTTGCATTCCAATCCTTGCCTCCAGGTCTACTTCGAGAGGAACCCAAACTAAGACAATTGGTGTTGGAAGAGGTCCAAGGAAGAATACCGTTATGATAGGATTCTGGAAGTTGCCAAGCAGATCACAAAAAAGGGCCCCATTACTGGTGGTGATAAGAGAAGTGAGGATAATTCTTGGTATGCTGAGCATCACAATTATGAAGCGAATTGTAGCGAATTGGAATGGGATAAAGGCTTATACAATATCTCTAGCATTTTTTAGATATGGTGGCAATGATAATTACGAGGACTATGGAACTGATTGTAGTTAATTGTCAGAGAGGTACTGAAGGAAAAAAAATGGCAGCCTCAATTCAGCTAACCATCAAGTTATTCTCAGTGTGAAGTCCAGAAGACCTCTAATACAGCATTTAAAGAGACTTTATTTCATGTAGCCAGAGGGTAGATCCAGGTGAAAATCAGGTGCAGACCTGAGTATGAAAGAAGCAGAATTGCAAAGACTTAATTCTCAGCCCTGGCAAGTTTCTTACACTAAAATCAGGGCCTTCCTAGGGAAGGAGTGTGGCCCTGAGACCCGAGATGGGGATATTTGGGGTAGATGCACTTGAGACCCTTGAATTTACAGATTCTCTTGAACTACTGGGCCTACAGAAATGGTTCACTCCCCATGGTTGTAGGATAGCAGATTCTCGTTGCCTAGAAATCGTAAAGAGGCAGACACCTCATAAGATGACACTTTTCTTCATGGTTTACCTCTACCCCTCTCACAGATTGTAGGACAAAAACTAGGGTCAAAACTCAGCTTGATCTCCTGGGAAAACACTTTCGCTGGTCCAAGAAAAAATGGATCATTAACAAAAGAGCTGTAAGACTTGGCTAATATGTCCTGGGAGGATCAGGGAGAACATACCTGCAAGTGGACTTTGAGGGTGCTAGCCCAGCAGTGAGGCCTATAAGGCTCGATACAGAGAGTTTTTGAAATGGGGGCATTATCCAGTGATGTCAGCTTTAATGTACTGAGAAGGACTCCTGTGGTCGATTCCAAGATGCTGCTGGGATAGCTCCTTGAAGCTTGGAAAATGATGGCCTGCAACAAATGAGATACGATTAGTGTAAAAATACCCAGCTCCCTTGTTCCTCAGATGGGAAAGTTCTTAGGTGGATGTTGAACAGTCTTTCCCAGAGTTTTCCCTTAGGATTAAGCAGCAAGAAGCTAAAAGAAATAAATTCCTAGGGGGTGAAGAAATAGTCACCAGTGACAACTAAGCAAAGGGGTGAATATAAACAGGTCAAGGAGGAAGTTCTTCATCCTGAGTCACCCTGAACATCTATTAGGCCCCAGGAGTGTAAAGTCATCTTGGGATGGAACCAGTCTAAGTGAAATTTTTTTATCTCTTGACCATTTTCCCCTTTCCTTGCTTTGACTCCAGAGAGATAAGAAGCTATCTAGCAATCCAGGGATGGATGGTGAGGAAAAAGGAGGAGAAATACAAGCCAGAGAAATAGA